CATATTGTAAGTGATAAAGATAGGTGTTGTATAATTTAGAAAACATAGAAAACAAAGCATGGCTGTTGCAGAGAGCTGCAAAGTCATCCATATTTAGACCTTGAAGAATGGTGACAAAGGGGTTTTGGCAACGCTTAGCGATACTTGCACATCTATTTTTCTTAGCGATACTTCGACAACATTTTATTTTTACGTTAATGTTGGTGCTAAAACGGTTTTCTTCGAGTTGGTTTCTAGCTATTTTCCTGCAACTGGCATAGCTATCAGTTGGGATCGAATTTGCATTAGAAAACCGGCACTTAATTAGAAAAACATCTCACTAGGTTCCAAATATGTCTCAAACAATATTGCTGTGAAGTTTTAGACGGTCATCTTTCATATTACATATATCCTCTAACATGCTCTTCATTTCAAAAAAATAATCTAGTTCTTCCAAAAAATAATTAACTAAATTGAATTATAACATCGTCTACGAGGAGGTACTGCAGATAACGAAGGCAGATTTGGGGTTAGCGTTTTATGGCTGCATCCATGTAATGCAGCTTATTTGGATTGGCCACTTCGACTGCTGACCACCTTGTAAGGTGCCACCTCGTGTCTAGCTTTGAGTTTAACTCGCATTCCACATTTACGACGATAAGTATCAGGTCCATAATTTATGACCGCTGCTCTCAGCAAAGGTGATTTTCTAAAGGGCATTCAAAGTACACTTACCATAGTAAGTTTACAATCTCCATCATGAATTGTTATATCCTTCATGTTCAGTACAATCTTATCTACGGCTTCTGTGATGTTCAGCTTCATCTCGACTGTAGCATCAAACTTGAAGTCTTTCTCATGGGGAAAATCAACATATCCAGGCAAGAAAGTCTTGAGCGTTAATGTATATTCAACTGAAAGAATCGACAAATTAAAAAAAGAAATCAAAGATAAAAACGTACAGGAGGACTGAGTCGCCGCGGTGTTTTTTGATTCAAAATCAGCTTTACTTTGCCTTTTCGCAACGAACTAGTCTAATATTCTTTACATATGTTGGTG